GAGGGAACATTTACACTGTTTGTACCTTGATGAACGAAAAATATACCTTTATTACTGACAGTGCACTGCAGCCTCACCATGTTACTAATGCAACAAAACTCCTTTCTCATTTCATAATTAACACCATAACACATGTAAATAACTAACAATATAATAATAATAATTTTTATTTATGATTATTCGATCTAAAGTTAGGGCAAACTGTATATTTTGTAAAAAATATTACATATTACATCTATTTTATCGTTTTCATGCTCTTTCTAAAACTGTGACTTCGATATAAAACCGTTTAACCTTTCAGCCCCAGTGTGAACCAAACCTTGGCTCAAGTATCGAGGTATGAACAATACTGTGGATCTGGAGAACCGTTACACCTGTAGTCCTGCACTGTGCGGTACTGCCCAGCAGAAGAGCCGCATTAGTCAACAGACTGTAATCAGCAGACGGCTCACGTTCAGCGCGGCTGGTTAGTATGTAAAGGAGGCCGGAGTCTGAGCAGAGAGCGGTGAGGGAGGATTTATCTGCAGGACACTTTCACAGCCTTTAACACTGCAAGCACTGCAAAAACCTTCTTCTACAGTAATAACACACTCGCAGTGCATCGCTGAGTGTTTATTACACTCTTAAACGCCATCTGTCCACAGCACTCTGCCTCTGCTTCAGCCATAAACGAGTCAACAAACCTCCCTGATAATCAAACACAAAGTTCTTAACAACATTTTCCACCTGCACACGCCCATCCCTCCACACACCACAGCGTCGGAGTGTGTGTGTGTGTGTGTGTGTGGTGTGTGTGTGTGTGTGTGAAGGGAGTTCTCCAACACGGATGTTTCTACACACCCTATCACACCCAGTCCAAATCTCATGTCCTCTCTGGACCAGCAGACATGCAGACTTAATGTACGCAATACAGAGAAAGTCCACAGAGCTGCTGCGCTCAAAGGTTATGTCCACACAGTTCGAGACTCAGATACAGACTCAGCTAAGTTGCATTTAAAAACCTACACTCCTAAAAGACGGTTCTTCAAGGGTTCCTAATTACAGAATTGCGTATTTGCCTCCAGGGGGCACCTGTGAACACACACTCCATTAAAAACAAGACTGGATTGTAGCCCTATAAAAAAGAATATATATATATATATATATATATATATATATATATATATATATATATATTTATACGTACACACACACACACACAGGTGGGCAAAGTCAGATGATTCAGACGACGGCTGTAAAATGTGTAATTCTTGTGAGTTCTTTTATTTTGAAGTCTGCTTTAGGAGCCAATGCACCTCAGATCACCACATATTTTACAAAAGGTGCCAGTTTACAGATTTGCTTAAAACTTTCAGGACATAATGTCGCTGTGCTCAGTAGACAGTGTGTGGAATTTCAGACTTGCATCTTCTTTACTTTCTGAAATATGGAATCAGACGTGGACTTAATTTTGAGCCTCAGGAGGTTCAACTGACTGGATGACAGTCAGGTGTGAGAGTTGCTGACCCTACCTGTTTAAAAACATCAACCTGAGTCTTCACCATCAGAGTCTGGTCTTTATCACACATTTGTTAGAGCGTGCCGTGTATCAGTGGAACGGGCTCTCTGAGGACCTCAGAGAATGGTCTGAAAGAGCTCGTTAGGCTGGAGGAGCTTCTGACGACTTTAGACTTCACTGATCCACTGCCAGGCAGACAGTGTACAAATGGGGGAAATTCAACACCGCTACCCTCCCTGAAGAGCTCATCCTACAAGCACGACTCCACGAGTAAGAGGAAGAACAGAGGGAGATCACAAAGAACCCCAGGGGAACATCTAAGGGTCTGCAGGCCTCTCCTACACTGGCTAATGGCAGCATTCATGAGCCCACAATCAGGCAAACAAGAAGAACATTTTCGCCTGTTTAAAGTTTCCTAAAGACCACCTGGATGATCCAGAAGACCACTGAAATAATGCTATGTGGACAGATAAGGCAAAAATAGATCTTTATGGCTTAAATGAGAAATATCATGTTTGGCAAAACCAAACACTGCATTCCAGCATAAGAACCTCATCCCGACTGTGAAACATGGTGGTGGTAGTATTATGGTTTGGGGCTGTTTTGCTGCTACTGGACCAGGACATCTTGCCACATTTGATGGAGCTGTGAATTCTGGATTGTATCAAGAAATTCTACAGGAGAACGCTGGGACATGCATTAGTGAACTGAACCTCAACAGAAGGTGGGCCCTGCAGAAAGACAGAGACCCTAAAAATGATTACGTCAGAAGAAATGTTGCATTATGCAATGAATGAGCTCAAATTCAGACCTTAATCCAACAGAAATACTGAGGCAGAACCTAAAGTGTGCTGTTCATTCAAGAAAGTCCACCAACACAACAGAGCTAAAGCAGTTCCGTAAGAAAGAACAGGCCAAGATTCCTTTAACCCTCTGGGGTCCACAAACTCACCCATGCATCAAATTCTCTGTTTCTGTATCTGTTTGTGTGTCTTTGAGATGATCCAGCTCAGAAATCCAGTTCAAACACTTCCTGGATCTGTAGAGTCGCCCTTTCCATTCCATCTTATCTCGAGATCATACGAGACTCACATCCGGAGTTATGAGCCTATGAAGAGGGGCTGAGATACACGTCATCTGCCTCTCACCGTGTGGAACTGGTGGATTCGTGTGTCCGTCTACATTCTGTGTGAAACTGACCAATGGACGCTCAGGAGATCACTAAGGACTGACCATCACGCCGGAAACCCTTCATTCTTCATTCAGTCCACATCGGAGACTCATGAGAAACGGCCTGCAGAGAGTTTACAGCTGCTGAAGCTGCTGCAGCGGTTTTGGAAAGTAGTGATGAAGATAACGGAGCATTTAGATATGAAACATATGAGGATCATGATATATGAAGAGCCTTTAAAGGAGAGATTAAGGAGAGATGAACAGATCGAGAGAGAATGACCTCAGACCACAGAGGGTTAAGTCAAAGTGCAGGGCTGATCACCTGCTACAGGAACCGTTTGTCTGATGTCACTGCTGCTCAAGGGAGTCACACCAGTTACTGAAAGCACAGGTTCACAAAATTTTGCACATTTTAATATCAGATTCCTTCAATATGTGAACAAAAACTATGTACTTTGTGTTTGTTGTTGTACTGGGTTCTCTTTATCTATTGTTTTGAGTTAAATGAAGAGCTGATCATATTTTAGATCATATTTATGTAGAAATTAACAGAATAATAAATAGTTCCCTAACCTCAGCAGCACCGTACATCCTCTACTGCATTGGTTCTCAACCTGGAGACCCTCAGCGACACCAAACCACTAAACTGACCTGCACATATTATGCCCACCTTTCCTGTTTGTCTGACCCGCACAGAGACGCTCATGATGCAGGACATCTTCACCAGAGTCTTCAGCTCAGTTTCAGCTGCACAAAAACACAGGTGTCAATATCAGACACCTAAGCCTTGGGCTGGTAAACACAGTTCAGCAGTTATTATCACTGCATTACAGTCCAGCAACAACCATCAATAAACAGTTTATATCATTAATTAATATTTATACTTTTATTCAGTTTTCTGCACTGACAGGGGGTCCTGTAGCCCCCCAGCAGCACTACACCCCGTGGTTATCCAGGTAACAGGGTTTCCGGTTCTTCGTGTTCCTAAATTCCACGTAGCGGTGAGTCAACGTCAGTCAGTTGATTAGATCACTCGAGCAAAGTCAACAGCTTTCACAGCCGCAACGTTTTCAGGACGTCCTCCAGCGTGTATTAACCCTGAACACACCGGCTTCACTGCTGTGATCTGTATCTGATCATCTAATCGGTCAGCGCTGTGGACGACCAGCAGCCATTGTTTACAGACTGAGCACGCGGACGGGACCGGACACTTACTCATCTCCTGTAAACGCTTTAGAGAGCGCCGTAAACGCTCCGTCAGAGCCATAAATCAGGTCAAAGCTCTCAGCTCAGATCACCCTCCCCACCTACCAGGTCTCTGCTCTCTGCTCTGAGGCTGGTCTGGTTCCTCTCTGAATAAGTTCTGCTCTGATATGAAGCTGGTTTGCTGGTTCTGCTCTGGGTCCTCTCTGAATAAGTTCTGCTCTGATATGAAGCTGGTTTGCTGGTTCTGCTCTGGGTCCTCTCTGAATAAGTTCTGCTCTGGTTCCTCTCTGATCTGAAGCTGGTTCTGGTTCTGGCTGAGCCCGTCCTGCTCTGGCGGAGCTGCAGGGCATGAATAATTGATCGATTTCAGGTCCAGCAGCACCGAAACGAGCAGAACCGAAAGAAACACACATCACCATCAGCCCAGCTCAGAACACACGGCCACAAACATAAACAACAAACAAGCTGCATAAACACAAACCACAAAACAAACAGCTGCGTGTTCATAAACATAAACGATGAATAACAGTTAGCCGTGCACTCATAAATAAAAACAGCAGACAATAAACAAACGTGTTGATAAAGCAATAACAAATGAGTGCATGTGCATAAACACAGCAGCTGGGCGCCAATATAAACAAAAATAAACATCTGCATGTTTAAAAACAGACAAGCAGCTGCTCAATTTTAATATGTGCAGAAAAATATCAAAATATTTATAAACATAAACAGCAACTGAATGTTAATATGTTCAGAAAATAAACATCAAAATCTTTATAAACAAACAGCGACTGAGTTTTAATATACATAAAAACAAAGCTGCTGAATTTTAATATATACAGAAAAATAAACCGCTGCATGTAATAAACACAAACAGCTGCTGAATGTTAATGTATACAAAAAATAATATATACAAAAATTATGTGTATAAACATAAAGAAACAGCTGCTGAATGTTAATGTATTCAGAAGAATAAATATCTACGTGTTAATAAACACAAACAGCTGCTGAGCGTTAAAACAGAACAAAATTAAACCGCTGCATGTTTACAAACACAAACAGCCCCTCGCGCCTGCAGTGTCCTTGATGTGATGATGTGCTGTGAGTGCGCGTGCTGTCTCACCGGTGTTGCCGTCGCTCTCCGGCCGCAGTGTGACGGCGCCGTCCCGGTGCAGCAGGATGGACGCGGGGCCCTTCAGCTCGAGCCCCGCGCAGCCTCGCGCCTGCAGCCCCCTGCAGCTCTGGAAGCCCACCGCCCACGCCTGCTCCTCGTTGATGGGCTGCTCGTAGCTCCGCAGCACCTCCAGCAGGCTCAGCGGCTCCGCGCGCCCGCCGCACGACTCCCGCGTGTCCGCGCCGCGCGCTGCTGATCCCGCCATGTAGGTCCGGGTCCGCGCGCGCCGCCTCCCATCTCAACCGCCACAAAACGCGCACGCAGCACAGGTCGCGCGACGGCACCGCTCTCACTACGTCATGAGCGGAATGCGGAGAGGGAGAGAGGAGGCGTGGCCTGAGCGAGGCGGGGGCGGAGACTCTGAAACCAGCAGCGCGAGCCGCATCATGACGCCATCTGCCGATCAATCAATCACACCGGCGGCAGGGTGAGAGGGATGGGGGCTGGGGATCGAACCCCCACAGACAGGCGGGGAAAGACCTGCAGATTAAAGCCGCATTAATATTTATTAATGTTACATAAGAGATGACCACGCCCACTTATTTATATTCAAGAACAATACGCTCTAGCGCTGTTTCTCCCGGCCGCTAGAGGCGCTGTGCCCACTGGAGGCTTCAATGAATGGAAGTGAAAGGATTAAAGTATTAGTTAAATATGTTTTTAGTCATTAGAGCGGGAAAGTTTATAACCTGGGCAAAGTGTAAGAATGTATTTCATAAAGAATTGATTAAAATTTATTTCAAATTCTTAGATCAGACAAGAAACATCATTGATCAGCTTTTTATGATCAAGTTCTTAATGTCTTTAACCCAGAACTGAACAGATTACAGTACAAAACAATTTGTTATCTGAAATTAAAAGGACAAAAAACTTTTTATTTGATTAGCTTTTACCATAAATTCTCATTTCAGAGAGCTCTTCAGCTAGAGGGCGCTCGCGAGAGACTTTTAAATAAACTGTGGAAGTAATGCTAACCAATCAGCTCTCAGTATCAGTAACGCTAACCAATCAGCGCTCAGTATCAGTAACACTAACCAATCAGCGCTCAGTAGCAGTAACGCTAACCAATCAGCGCTCAGTATCAGTAACACTAACCAATCAGCGCTCAGTAGCAGTAATGCTAACCAATCAGCTCTCAGTAGCAGCAATGCTAACCAATCAGCACTCAGTATCAGTAACGCTAACCAATCAGCTCTCAGTAGCAGTAACACTAACCAATCAGCACTCAGTATCAGTAACGCTAACCAATCAGCGCTCAGTAGCAGTAACACTAACCAATCAGTGCTCAGTAACAGTAACGCAAACCAATCAGGAATCAGTAGCAGTAACGCTACCCAATCAGCTCTCAGTAGCAGTAACGCTAACCAATCAGGAATCAGTAGCAGTAACGCTAACCAATCAGTACTCAGTAGTAGTAACACTAACCAATCAGCCCTCAGTAGTAGTAAGGCTAACCAATCAGTGCTCAGTACCACTAATGCTAACCAATCAGCCCTCAGTAGCAGTAATGCCAACCTATCAGCACTCAGTAGCATTAATGCTAACGAATCAGCTCTCAGTAGCAGTAACGCTAACCAATCAGCTCTCAGTATCAGTAACGCAAACCAATCAGCTCTCAGTAGCAGTAATGCTAACCAATTAGCGCTCAGTAGCAGTAACGCTAACCAATCAGCGCTCAGTATCAGTAACGCTAACCAATCAGTGCTCAGTAGCAGTAACGCTAACCAATCAGCGCTCAGTAGCAGTAATGCTAACCAATCAGCTCTCAGTAGCAGTAATGCTAACCAATCAGCCCTCAGTAGCAGTAACGCTAACCAATCAGCGCTCAGTAGCAGTAACGCTAACCGATCAGCGCTCAGTATCAGTAACGCTAACCAATCAGTGCTCAGTAGCAGTAATGCTAACCAATCAGCGCTCAGTAGCAGTAATGCAGTGATGTCGTTATCCACAGCTGCTCATAGCGTCACTGAAGGGCTGCGGTCCGCCAGGCCAACACAGTGCTCTGTGGCAGGGCCTCGCTGGCTGCCATCCTCTGGTCAGGCTCCCCTGCTGAGGCTTGCCACACTGCTTCCTCTTCCACAGTCCTTGGCTGGGCACAGTCTTCTCCACCGTCTACTCTGAGTTTGTTGAAACATCATTCCTCTCCTCTCTGCATGCACATTATCCCACTTCTGACACCAGCGTGGCATCTGCTTAGAATTAGATGCTTTTAAGGCGAATGGTCTTTTATTGAACAGGCAGCAAGAGAGAACTGCAACTCAGGGCTGCTGAAACGGCTGATATAGCAGGCAGGTCACTTCCAGCCACACTTTCACCTGACAGTAAACACCAACACTGCACTCACTACGCCAAAGCCCAGCACAGAGCAGCACAAACAATAAATGTCATTAAACTAATAGCAACCCAGGAGAGCCTGTGCACGTGGCCGCTCTGCATGGCCACACCTCCCACAATCAAACAGCCGTGTGATCCAGTAGGAATCAAAGAAGGCAAAATAAGCCAAAATGTTCAAAAATATTATTTCCTCTGGCTCAAAAAGTACAACAGAACATGCTTAAATATTAAGTACTAAATTTTAGAGCTGCAGTGGAGCTTCTTAGAACCTCCATCTAATCAGTGCAGGAGCTGGAGTTTGTACGGTTCTGTTCTTTGTTCTTCTCTTTTTGGATCCTTTTGATCTAAAATAAAAACAGGAGTGAAAAACAGTGAAGCAGTGCAGGAACTGAACCAACACATCTGAACTAAATTAAAACATCAATGTTAGGAATATGGAAATAAATGTTAATGAAAAAACGGAACTGAGTGATAAAGTAGATTACTTTACTCAGTGATATTGGCGCTAAGCACTCGCACTGGAAAATACTCCAAATCCATCATGTTACTCGAGCACATCTGAGTAGAGTTATGATACAAATCAACACTAGATGGCAGTAGATGTGCATTTATCTCACTGCACCACCAGCTGTTTTGTATGGAGCCACATGACATCCTGAAAGGGGAATTCCACCCATTTTGTGAAATTAACCCATAATTCAGTGGGTGAGGTAATCAGAGAGCTTCAGAGTGGTTTGGTGTGAAATGGTTCAGATGTCTTTACAGTGGTGGTGATAGGAACCAGGGGTCGCCATGACTACAACACAGATATAGACATTTTATTTACTATCCAGAACCACCAGTGAACCTACACGAGTCTTCTGAGTTTATATGGAATGTTGATGATGGAAAATAGTGGAAAATCTGAAATAATAAGTTTTCTTTGGGGACTATTTTGCCTCACAGCGCCCTGCATGTATCCCTCCACCATGAATGGAGTTTAAGTTCTCTAAACTATCCTAAAACAGTGTCTCAGTCATCAGGCAGTGAATTCATAACCATTTCATGTAGGAACTTTCTGTGAGGAGCTTTTAGAGGTGGACGTCTGGTTCCTATCACCACCACTGTGAACAGTTCTGACTCGGCAAGTTTATCTAGAACTTAAAAAAGATGGTTCTTCAAGGGTTCTTTGGTAAAGGGAATAGTTCTATTTAGAACCATGAGTTTTATATAGAACCATTTCCATGCTTAAATGGTTCTCTGCATGGTGAAATGGTTCTTCAGATTGATGGAGAATGTGTTGTATATGGTTCTATATAGCACCAAAAAGGGTTCTGCAATTGTTACGATGTCAAGCTTGTGACGATAGAAGAACCCTTTTTGGTGCTATATAGAACCATCTACAGCACATTCTCCATCAATCTGAAGATCCCTTTTGTGATGCAAAGGGCCTTTTAATCACACAGAGGGTTCTTTGAGTGTTCATGATTCTTTATAGAACCATTTTCTTTACTTTAAAGAACCATCTTTTTAGAAGATTTTTCAGAAACACTTTTAATGGTTGCTTTGATTTTTTTCAGCAGGGCACTCTGTGTAACTTTGTTTACATTTAAATGATTTATTGATGCAGACAATTTTGTAAAATTGGTGGAATTCCCCTTTTATAATAGTAGTGTGTGGTCACTGCTCGCTAAGGAGATGCCGCTGAGCTGTTAGTGTGTATGTTTCCTCTCTGACTGACTGTGATGGGAAACGTGATGAGCAGGTCGAGTGATGTCAGAGTTTCCGTCTCTATCAGAGTGAAAACTGAATCAGATCCATCATCCTGATCAGTCTGATCATCTGAACACACTCACGGCCTCGTTGAGCCCAACAGGTGACCAACGTGTTACTGACTATTTTATATTTATATCACATAGAATAAACTCTGAAACTGACCTCAACACACTGGGTGTGTTTTGAGTGACTTCACATCACATTAAAGAATAACGAGAGACACTTATAATGTATTGATCAGGTCAAAGTTCACGTGATAAAGTATCTTAAATAAATGAAAATATTAAAACACTAAACACTCCTACCTTGTCAGTCCACCTTGTAGATGTAAAGTCAGAGACGATAGCTCATCTGCTGCTGCACAGTTTGTGTTGGTCATCCTCTAGTCCTTCATCAGTGGTCACAGGACGCTGCCCGCAGGACGCTGTTGGCTGGATATTTTTGGTTGGTGGACTATTCTCAGTCCAGCAGTGACGCTGAGGTGTCTGATCCACTCAGACCAGCACAACACACACTAACACACCACCACGTCAGTGTTACTGCAGTGCTGAGAATGACCCACCACCCAGATAGTACCTGCTCTGTGAGGGTCCATGGGGGTCCTGACCACTGAAGAACAGGGTAAAAGGGGGCTAACAAAGTATCAGAGAAACAGATGGACTACAGTCTGTAACTGTAGAACTACAAAGTGCACCTATATAGTAAGTGGAGCTGATAAAATGGACAACGAGCGTAGAAACAAGGAGGTGGTCAGAATGTTATGCCTGATCGGTGTATGTAGCAATATTGACTGACAGATTTAGCTCTGCAGACCAGACTGACCTTTACAGAGGTCATCAGAGCTGAACTGAACAGATCTGAACGACAAACACAATAAAAGTCCCCTGTAATGCTCAGAGAGTTTCACACTGATGTCCACTCTGCTGTAGTGGGCAGAGTGTGTGACTGCGCTGTGTGTGTGTGTGTTGGCTGTTTGTTTGTTTGTTTGGTCAGTTTTAGGGCCTTTTCTCCATGTACATGTTTTGTCATTAGGAAACATATCAATTGTCATAGCCGAATGGAACGGAGTGTTGAGGTGCTGAGAGGTTCCGCCCACTCTGCTCAGGTGTCCAGGCAGGTGAAGGCGCCGCTCTCTCCCAGAGTTTAATGATAAACAGATATTATGTGTTCCTTTAATTCGGTCAGTCATTAAACCACTTTAACAAAAGCTCCAGCGTCACCGGTGTCCAGTTTCCTCACTTTTCTTCCTCGTATTGTGTGAACTTTCCAGCTGCTGCTGAAAGAACTTTAGACCGAGGCTATTTTAAGACATTTTTGAGTGACAGCCTTATTTGTTCTGGCTGAAATTCAATAATAAATTCATTCTGTGACAAAAGCGCTGATCTGTTCACTTTAAGCCACTTCCAGTATTAAAGAAGTTCATTTTAAACCCCAAACCTTTTTTTCCTTTGGTGTTTTTGATGAAGTGTTAATCAGAGTTTAATAAGAGCTGAACTTCAGAAAGCGGTATTCTCCGCCTCACACTGTCAGATCGGCACTAGAGCTGTTTTTCTGAGATGTACTGAGAGCCCAATAATACAAAACGCTTCTAGAACGTTTCAAATAAATTATAAAAATAATAATATAAAAATTAAAAAAGTTTCTTGTGTTTTCCATATTTCTTGTTTGTATTGCTTCCAAATTTTTCTCTTTAAACAAAAAAGTATACTTTGCATACTGCATACTTTGTTAGCCCCCTTTTACCCTGTTCTTCAGTGGTCAGGACCCCCATGAACCCTCACAGAGCAGGTACTGTTTGGGTGGTGGGTCATTCTCAGCACTGCAGTAACACTGACGTGGTGGTGGTGTATTAGTGTGTGTTGTGCTGGTGCGAGTGGATCAGACACAGCAGTGCTGCTGGAGTTTTTAAACACTGTGTCCACTCACTGTCCACTCTATTAGACACTCCTACCTTGTCAGTCCACCTTGTAGATGTAAAGTCAGAGACGATAGCTCATCTGCTGCTGCACAGTTTGTGTTGGTCATCCTCTAGTCCTTCATCAGTGGTCACAGGACGCTGCCCACAGGACGCTGTTGGCTGGATGTTTTTGGTTGGTGGACGATTCTCAGTCCAGCAGTGACACTGAGGTGTTTAAAAACTAATATGAATATTTTTTATTTGTCTGCACTTTTTATGGCGGTTTTGCAAAAGTGGGTGTGGCCTTGTTTTCTACCTGGTGCCTGGAACCTTTTTACCTATGGGTAATAAATGTGGGACATTTCCAGACATGATTCAGTGGTTCAAGGCGTGTTTAACTACCAAACTAGGAAAAATACAGATGCATGTTTCCCAAAAATAGGAGAACAAATTGTGTTTTTGTTTATTAAAACAACTTTGGGCCTCTAATATCTCCACACTGAAGCACACCAGATCATTCAGATTTTGGTATTTATTACTAATATCACAACATTCCAATGGCAATCAGATATTAGTGATAAAATAATACAAGTTGATTTATGAAACAGCAAAATTTTAAACAACTATATCTTAAAGGCTCATTACACACATCTGACAACGTCTGTCAAGTCATCACCGTCACTGGAAAGAGCACATTTTAATAAACAACCGCACCAAATATGGATTTGATACCTGGATTTTGGTACCTAATACACAGTTTACACTCTTAAAAAAGATTCTGGTTCTATGAAGAACCGTGAACATACGAAGGACACTTTGCATGCTTAAATGGTTCTCTGCATGGTGAAACGGTTCTTCAGATTGATGGAGAATGTGTTGTATATGGTTCTGTATAGCACCAAAAAGGGTTCTGACATTGTTATGTTATCAAGCATGTAACAAGTGCAGAACCCTTTGGGGCTAAATAGAACCATATTCCAAAAGGATCTACATGGAACCATATACAACATATTCTCCATCAATCTGAAGAACCATTTCACCATGCAGAGAACCATTTAAGTATGCAAAGGGTTCTTTGAGTGTTCATAGTTCTATACAGAACCACTGTCTTTACTAAAGAACCTTTAAAGAACCATCTTTTATAAGCGTGAACTACAGGCGGAAACGCAGTTCATCACAGATCATATGAACCAGCTGCTGCAGTTATTTCATGGTGTGTTGTAAAACACACTAAGACGTGCGATTCTGTTTTGTTTCTTGTCATTTGTATTTTTATGTTACAGTCATGACTTCACCTTCAGCCCCACAGTGGAGATCTGCGAATATCATAGCAGGTCTGTATTTATACACAGCGTAGCACGTCTGTAATTCTCATCTTCTTTGTAACTCAAACTCAAATTCCAGATACACAGCAAGGTATAAAGTGAACAGTTATGTCTGTATTTCCTATCAAAGTTTGTACCTTTTTACCTTTTTTCATATCATTCATTTTAAAGCAAAATTAAGTCCACGTCTGATTTCATATTTCACAAACTAAAGAAGATGCAAGCCTGAAATTCTGCACACTGTCTACTGAGCACAGCGACATTATTACCTGGAGGTTTTCAGCAAATCTGTAAATTGGAAACTTTTTTCTAACATATGTGGTGATCTGAGGTGCATTGGCTCCTAAAGCAGACTTCAAAATAAAAGAACTCAAAAATAAATTACATATTTTACATTTTACATCCATCAGAAATTTCTAAACTGCATCTAAATGATCCGACTTTGCCCAAACAAAAATCTGAGGGCCTGTTAAGCTAAATTTCAATAAATATTCAGTTAGAAGTTAGAGGAAGGCTGAACCATACATACATATGTGTGTGTGTGTGAGTGTGTGTGTGTGTGTGTGTGTGTGTGTGTGTGTGTGTCTGTGAGTGTGTGTTTGTGTGTGTGTGTGTGTCTGTGTGTGTGTGTGTGTCTGTGTGTGTGTGTGTGTCTGTGTGTGTGTGTTTGTGTGTGTCTGTGTGTGTGTGTGTGTGTGTTTGTGTGTGTGTGTGAGAGTGTGTGTGTGTGTGTGTGTGTGTGTGTGTGTGTGTGTGTGAGAGTGTGTGTGTGTGTGTGTGTGTGTGTGTGTGTGTGTGTGTGTGTGTACGTACATCTGTATTTTTTTTTTTACAAAAATAGGGCTAAAATCCTGTCTTGTTCGTAATAGAGAGTGTTCACAGGCGCCTCCTGGCCACTTTGGAGGCTATTTGTCCTTAGAGGTTTGATCCCGTTTGGGTGAGCGTTATCCTGCTTTAGCGGAACCAGTAGATTTTGAAGGAACGTTCCAGGTGAACTGGTGGTGTCGTCTCCGTCCCGTCAGGTCCAAATCCAGCTGCTTCTGTTCTGCTTCACTCTCTACTGGATGGTAGCCCAGCAGGGTCATGGCTCCTTTGCACACCTCCTGTATTTGTTTGACCTTGGAGTACGGTAAGGAAGTTCTCCAGGCCAAGGAAACGTCCTCGGCGTTCCGCGAGGTGATTTTGAACGCGTCTTTCCTGGTTCCTTTGCCTGTGCCGTGCGTAATGCGATAAATCCACGTTTCCAAGGTCTCGGTCATCTCCAGCCCCACAAAGTCATACATGTTTTTGATCGCGGTCAGCGGGTCCCTCACCATGTCCTCGTATCGGACCAGCCTGTACCTTCCTCTGAGGAAGTCGGGCGGTTTCAGCATGCCGGTCTCGTGTATTCTCACGTGACTGCGGCAGACTTCCTGCATCACCCTCAGCTGGCTGTCAGGTGGCATGGTGCCCTCCTGCTCCAGAACCAGGGCGCTGTCCCGCACCAGGGCCTTGACGGCCTTGTCCCGTGAGTTCATGACGGCCCGGGGGTCCCGCACCAGGTGTATGATCCTCAGGTCCAGCGAGGGGTCCCTCAGCAGCGGGTAGAGGGACTCCAGCTCGAAGAAGCGCACCTCCTTCAGCACCACGTGGCTGTAGGAGTGACAAGCCTCCTCGGCCCGCTGCAGCCCCATCGTGTCACAGTGCAGCTTACACTTCGGCTCCTCGCTGATCTGGTCCCTTGGCGTCAGCGGGCAGGCCGGGGGCGAGCAGAGCGCTCTGCTGTGGCTCCACATGAACACCTGAGAGAGAGAGGGGCAGAGTGTTTAGCACATTCCCTCTCAGATCCTGGATTCACAAAGCTTTCTTTAGAAAAAACACTAAGAAGTTCATAAGAATGAGCCTCGTTCTCCAACCAAAATTAGAACACGGAATCAGAATCCCAACACATCAAATCACTCCTCACTTGGATTAAAAGCTAAACCTGTTTTGTGTAAACAGGAGGGGAAACACCAAACACAGAATCTGACACAGAAAGAAGAGGCTGTTCAAGTTCAGTGGCAGCTGAAAATGAGGGAGCGTTAAACATATTGCAGAAAATATAATTTAATCAACATCAGCATCCAACCAAAAAATTACAGCCAGAGCTGTTAAGATGCTATTTTTTGCCAGACTGTGTCTCATTATGAATCATAACCATCATATGTAAATGAGATAATAGCACAGCCACACCTCTAATCACACAAGCAGTAAAACACACCGATAACCCTCGTTTATGAATCAACGTGCTACCGCCAGCTATTCGCTCTTAACGTCACAGTAAATCTGCTGCTGTTTGATCAGTCTGAGTGATGACTGAGGGATTTTTTTCAGCTTATAAAAACATCTACATCAGCCGATACACTGCCAGCATGATCTGTACTCCAGCACTGATCGACATCCCTCAAAATTGAGCCAGAACTGAACACACTGGGTGTGAGATTTCTGCAGTTATCTGATTACTGAGTGGTCATGTAAACAATCTGATTTCTTATATCAGATGAAGGGCTATAAATCTGATTAGTAAATCTCATAAAGAGGCTTGATCTGAGTCAGTAATGGGGAGTTTATGCAGTTATCTGATTATTAAGTGTAAACGTACTGAACCAGTTACTGACGCAATCTGATTATCTGCAGTTATCAGATTAATCAAGTGTAAACACACTGAACCAGTTACTGACACAATCTGATTATCTGCAGTTATCAGATTATCAGTGTAAACCCCAACATGTAAACACACTGAACCAGTTACTGACACAATCTGATTATCTGCAGTTATCAGATTAAGTGTAAACACACTGAACCAGTTACTGACACAATCTGATTATCTGCAGTTATCAGATTATTAAGTGTAAACACACTGAACCAGTTACTGACTCTTCAATGATCTGGATCAGGTGTGAGAACAGGTCAGTGCAACAGCAGCTCCATTTCCATCTGGCGCATTTTTTCCATTTACTGCCTGGCTGTGGAAAAATGGTCAGTAATATTTTATGGATGGAATGAAGGATAAATTCTTTGTTGTTCCCTGAAATGTTGTGAAAACTTACACTACACCTTTTTGTTTTGGGAGGCGCTCAAAGCATTTACGCATAAATTTAGCGCCATGAGACACATTTACCTCCACAAACACAGACAAACCCAAACAGCGTGCTGGAGCAGCAGAGCTGCTGAGACGAAAGAGCTCTTAAAAGGAAATGCTTTTACTTCTCAGCTCTTACAGAGAGAAGAGCTCAAACGGCTCCACACGGCACAGAAACGGCGTCTCTCACAGAGCAGATCGGATAGAGGAATAATAATCACGTAGCAGTGCAGTTCAAAAAGTTCTGCATGATAGTTTTGGAGTATTACTTCTGCAGCATTTTTTTGCTGGGCTGTTCTAAAAGGACTCTTATTTTGAAGGCAGGGCTAGCTTCGCTGGCTGTGTTCTGTTAGATTAGGAAGTTCTAGCAGATACATTATAAATGAGGAGACGCTGGTTGAAATACGAGAGGGAAAGCTCACAACACGTCCGTTTGCTCGCTGGTTACCCCACAAGGAGTGAAAGCCCCCCTTTGTTGTGGAGGTCTGTGCAAGCCCAGCAGCCAAAACAACTCAAAAAATCTATTTTTTGTGCGTTATTGAGCCAAACACTACAAACTATTTATAAAGTTTTTGTCAGATTTTATCAGTGATTTCAAATCTGTGATTTAAACGGTAAATTTCACCTTCAGTTAATGAGTATTTTGGTCTTCAGAGAGAGGAGTCTGGTCTTGTATGGCTGGAAATAACTGCCGGGCGGTGTTGCAAAGATGGCCGCCGAATGAACAGACTTTCCCATAAGAACTTTGGTACTGCTCAGTCTATCACTGACGGCAGAGGAAGCGAGACGAAGCGAGGCTCAGAGTGAACTCTCTAATGTACAGCGTAGCTGTGGTTATAAAAACTACAGCCCCTTAATAAAGCACAGCAAATCAAATCAAGTCAAATCAAATTTATTTGTATAGCGCTTTTTACAACTGATGTTGTCACAAAGCAGCTTCACAGAATTAAAGACAAAGTTTTAACATAAAATGTAAATCCTCCAGGTGAGCAAGCCAGGAAAAACTCCCTCAGAGCTGAGGGAAGAAACCTTGGGAGGAACCAAGGCTCACATGGGGGGACCCATCCTCCTCTGGTCAAACTACCTACACAATTATTATACTACTAATATTAATAGTAGTAGTAGTTAGGAGTCCATGAAAACTTCAATGTAGGGTGGACAGCTAGTCCAAGGCAAGTGGTGGTAGCTGGGACAAGTGGCGGTAGCTGTGGCAAGTGGTGGTAGCTGTGGCAAGTGGCGGTAGCTGTGGCAAGTGGTGGTAGCTGTGGCAAGTGGCGGTAGCTGGGGTAAGTGGTGGTAGCTGTGGCAAGTGGTGGTAGCTGGGGTAAGTGGTGGTAGCTGTGGCAAGTGGCGGTAGCTGGGGTAAGTGGCGGTAGCTGTGGCAAGTGGCGGTAGCTGGGGTAAGTGGCGGTAGCTGTGGCAAGTGGCGGTAGCTGTGGCAAGTGGCGGTAGCTGGGGTAAGTGGTGGTAGCTGTGGCAAGTGGCGGTAGCTGGGGTAAGTGGTGGTAGCTGTGGCAAGTGGCGGTAGCTGGGGTAAGTGGCGGTAGCTGTGGCAAGTGGCGGTAGCTGGGGCAAGTGGCAGTAGCTGTGGCAAGTGGCGGTAGCTGGGGTAAGTGGTGGTAGCTGTGGCAAGTGGCGGTAGCTGTGGCAAGTGGCGGTAGCTGGGCAAGTGGCGGTAGCTGGGGTAAGTGGCGGTAGCTGGGGTAAGTGGTGGTAGCTGGGGCAAGTGGCGGTAGCTGGGGTAAGTGGCGGTAGCTGGGGCGGGGTCAACTGGTCTGAAGCGGGTAGCAGGAGAGCTCCACAGACATTCATCCATCAGACCAGACAGGCGGGCAGTCGTTCACTCGACAGCCACTTGTGCGTCAGCTGTGTCTCCTTTAATAGCAGCAAATTACATTTTATAACTACAATATTATAAAAATAAACAGATCGTTCCTATTATTTGGTTTAGGGCTGAAAAACTTTTTTATCAAAATTGCAATTTGAAAGAGTGCAATATTCAAATAACAAGAGCCGCGATTTTTAGCGTAGTGTCAAAGTCTGTTATCAACATTGTTGATATGTTGCAGCTTTTAAGTACGCCCGTAAAAAGACAGTGGATCTATACAGAACCATGATTTGCATGATTAAATGGGTCTTTGCATCATGAAAAGGTTCTTCAGACTGAACAAGAATGTGTTGTCTATATAGAACCTTTCTGTAAATGCTTCTATCTAGGACCAAAAAGGTTCTTCTATTGTTAGTGTCTCCTCTTCTGTGGTAATTTTTAATTTTTTTTGCTACTCAAATGAATCTGAGCTCCCCAAATATCGGGACGTCAGGAGAGGAGAAAATGAATCAGCTACGTGGATCTTGATATCAGCAGCTAAAGGGGAATAAACACTGGGGGCAGCAGCCGTGTAAACAGCTCTTAGCGTTAGCTGGTTAGTTAACGCAGCTGAAACATTACAGAAACATCAGTTTCGAGAAACTCACGTTAATTCTCGTGGCTTAAAAAACTGGCGAAATGAAAAACTTCCAAAAAGACAAATCAGAATTTTTAAGTGTCCAATAAACGATCTTCTGTTTTATCTTCTTGTTCAGTGACCCGGAAAAATCAGCTGTTTGAAATGATGTTGTTCAACACAAACACAGAATTTTTACTGCAGGTGTTCAAATGAGTTGCAGGACACTTTACATTATGCAACTCAAGTCTCATGCAGGTTTCAAGCTACTAAAGTTGCGTAGAGGTTTCACTGTGTAAACCTGGCCTTATGTAAAGCATTTTACCGCAAAGTTTGATGGAAATAAAATTGTGAACGTCACTTGGAGCAGAGAGTCGACGGACACGTAGCTACTGACCTGAGAGACGTTGTAGTTGGGGGGCATGTAGGCGTCCATCACGGAGAGGTCACACTGAAACACGCTGCGCACCAGATCCCTGACCGCCATCCGCAGGCCGCGCGCGCCGGGCCGCCGCAGAGCCGTCCACACGTGCCACGCCGGCTCCATCAGGTAAAACACCGAGGGGTGCTGGCTAAACACCTGGCCCAGGAAGGAGGAGCCTGATCGCCACGACGACAGCAGGAGCACGTGCACCTTCCTCTGCGACGGGGGCGAGTCCTGTGGCCCGATGCGACCGTACCAGCTCACAAACAGCACCATGGCAACGACCTGCAGCAGCAGCAGGGTCACCACGGCAGGCGTGGGCACACGGTAACGCAGCATTCCACCTGCACACACACACGCAGACAGGTCAGCGCTGACCAGCGGAAACGGCTAAACGGGGACGGTGACTAAAGTTTACTGTGAAGCTTTACAGACAGAAATATGTCTTATTTATTTTGGTCTAATTTATTTATATTTATTGTTTTTATTTATATGTTTAGTACACTCTTAAAAATATGGTTCTTCAAGGGTTCTTTAGTAAAGAAAATGGTTCTTTATGGAACAATGAACAGTTAAAGAACCACTTGCATGCATAAATGGTTCTCCGCATGGTGAAATGGTTCTTCAGATTGATGGAAAATGTTTTATAGTTGGTTCTATATAGCACCACAAAGGGTTCTATTATTGTATACAAGTTTGACAACGTAACAATAGAAGAACCCTCTTTGATGCCGTATAGAACCATATATAACACATTCTCCATCAATCTGAAGAACGATTTCACCATGCAGAGAACCATTTACACATGCAAAAGGTTCTTTAAGTGTTCATGGTTCCATGTGGAATCACTGTCTTTCAGAACCATCATTTTAAGAGTGTCCGAGCTGAAACTGGCCTCTCATTGGAATCTTCTGCTCCACTTTGGTGCAGCTGTTATGTTCCGCCGTCTGAGGCTGAGAAGGTTTTTTTGGATCCTTTTGGTCTAAAAGGAAATGCTAAAATAAACATGTCAGTGTTCCAGACTTTTATTTATTTGGATTCATTTATTTTTATGTGTTTATGTTGGGAAGCTGTTCAAAAGCACAGATCTGTACTGAATTAATAGCGTTTGCATCGACTTCCCAGACCTATTAATGACTGTTGCTGCTAATAACTGTCGCCAGCAGGTCCAAAGCTTTATTACACACTGCTATAATCAGAACAGCTCAGCCAGTTTACACTGAGGTCCCTGTAGTTACTAAATAATAAGCCTTAGTGTGTAATAAACCTGAGATTTGAAGGCTTGATGTGAAAGTAAAATGATTTTTGAGGTCTTATGATGATTATATCTGAAGGTAGAGTGCAGTTATTCTAAGTGCTGAAAGGTTTTATTATTGTTTAAAATTATTTTTCCTGAAACAAGAGCACAGCATGTCGTGAAGGACACACTACCCACAGTTAAAATGTCTTCTATCTTTCCTTTACATACACAGTTAAGATGTAAACAGAGTGGTTCAGAGCGGTTCAGAGTGGTTTGGTGTGAAACGCTCCGTTCTAGATAAACTTGCCAAGTCAGAACTGTTCACAGTGGTGGTGATAGGAACCAGACGTCCCCCTCTAAAAGCTCCCTCACAGAAAGTTCCTACATGAAATGGTTATGAATTCACTGCCTGATGACTGAGACACTGTTTTATGATGGTTTAGAGAACTTAAACTCCATTCATGGTGGAGGGATACATGCAGGGCGCTGTGAGGCAAAATAGTCCCCAAAGAAAACTTATTATTTCAGATTTTCCACTATTTTCCATCATCAACATTCCATATAAACTCAGAAGACTCGTGTAGGTTCACTGGTGGTTCTGGATAGTAAATAAAATGTCTATATTTGTGTTGTAGTCATGGCGACCCCTGGTTCCTATGACCGCCACTGTAAAGACCTCTGAAATGTCCCCTAATCTGTACATCCTACATCCAAATATCTAGATCACCACAGAGAGCAGCGTGATAGAGAACAGAATCTGTGAAACAATTTCGGACTTCATACAGGTTTGCTCATTACTTACAAACGGGTGTCCCTTATTCCCTAGCCTAGCATACACTGCTCGTACACTATTTTTTGCAATGCATTGTGGGACTGTTTGAGCGCACTGGATGTTTTCGGACACCGCTACAAAATGGCTGAACCCACAATAGTGCACTATATAGTTAATAGGGTGCAGTTTTGGACACGCTACAATGAACCGTTTCACACCAAACCACCTTAAACACTGAATTACGAGGGATTTTTGGGTGGAATTCCCCTTTAAAGTAATATCAGTGGCAGCTGAATGGTGGAATCAGCCTGTACTGCAGTATTCTTACATTTTCATTCAGGCCTTCTAAACATTTGAATATTGTAATGTTGTCGTTGTAAATCACAAACAGCAGCATGTTTTTCTCTTTTTACTATTAAAATACATACATTCATTATAAAAACAGCCTCCAGTCAAATTAAGAAAGAGGTTGCATGACCAGTAGGTGGCACCAAACACACCTTCTGCAGATCAGAGTGTGGAAATTGCTGGAACTGCAGATTAAACTGTCACTGTATATGTAAACAAGTGTTATGATGGCACGTCTATCTGCAGCTATGTGTCATAATTGGTGACATATTAATGTAAACCTTCAGTATTTAATACACAAGCGCATTTCTGAGAGCAGCCTGGACTGAGTGTGTTTATATCAGCAGAATGAACAGCTTAAAAATGTTCATTCTTCCAAACTGTTTAACCCAGAGCTCAAATCCCTACAGCGGCTTCCAGTGTCTCACAGAACTGAGTACAAGGTGTTATTACCTGTCTATAAATCACTGAATGGGTTAGGATCATCCTGTTTCTCTGACATGCAATAAAGGCCCAGCAGAACTCAAACGTCATCAGAAACCACTCAGCTGACCGTCCCCAGGGTGAACACCTAACATGGACGGGCAGCTTTTAGCTTCTATTTCTCTTTTATTAGCGTGCATGAAATGTGCTATATACACAAAACAAACCTGAACCTGAACAGAAGCACTGAATCCGAAATCCGACGCGTTAAACTGATACCGACGGTCTGACCGTTTACATCTGGCCACTGATGTCATCCTGCTGCGACTTGTGTACTCAGTGTCTGACAAAGTGTGCTTTTCTTTCTAACATTAAACGTTCAGTAAATATGGTTTAAGCTCCACACTTCGCTCGATCGCTCGCTGAGCAATCATCAGTTCATCACCTCTGGGTGCGTCCATTTGACTTCTGGGTTGGGAAGGACTTCATAAGAGCTTCAGGCTCAACCTGAATCAAAGCACATTGTCAGTTATGTAAAGAACAGAAGCTTCTACCATTTAAAAATGAAATATTTCAACAGTAATATTTAAAAACGTTGTTTTGTTTCTGTTCCGTGTCCAAAAGAAAATCCACTGAGAGAACTCGTTTTAAGAAAACAGTAAAATCCAATACATGATTAAAGCAACACAAGCATCCAGCGATTATAAAGCTCAGTTTCAAAGAATTTATAAAGATTTTATCAGATTTGTTGCTGTGAAAATGCAGGACACACTCAAAAACTCACACTTAAAAAGTGTTTTACATACATGAGCTTCATGTTTTATTTCACTGAGAAGCACTGAGAGCTGCATTTTAATGTATGGAGGGTGCTACGTAAATAAAGTGATTATTATTATTATTATTATGATTATTATAGTTATATAGAACTGAAAGTGTTCTTCAGATTGATGAAGAATGTGTTGTATATGTAAAAAAGGTTTCTTTAGTAAAAGCAATGGTTCTATTTAGAACCACGAGTTCTAAAACAGCGCTCTTCATTTAGAAATATCACACAGTCGGATCTTTTCTCAATCTGTAAGACGCTGAGCAGCTGATCATGGTTTGTGTTTTGATGATCAGACTGCTGCATTGCGTTATTCACTGCATTACCTAGAACCACAACTGACAGACTCAGAACCCTGCAGCTGGACTAACTCATATAAAAAAGAGAGAACAAACACCTGTTTTAGCGTCATCCCAGCGGCTGCCCGTCTGTTCAGAACTGATTTAAACTCTTTCACTGCTTTATAATCTCCTATTGGATCTGCACCTCCAACCATCTCTGACTGCTGACGGAACATGTTCCACATCGAGCTTTAGGACCGTCGGCGCTGCTTTACTGAATGTTCTCAGGATGAAGCGCAGAAAGACTACCTGACAATCTGGAACTGTTTACTAATTAATATTCGTCAGACTTCGTCTGCAACCAGCTTTAAACAGCAGCTGAAAACGATTCACTGAGCTCAGCTTTCAGTCAGCTTCCTGTTCTTATTTCAAACCTTATTTTACTCAGTCTATTTTATTTGATCTGTTTATTTTCTTTATATTTTTTATTGTTGAACTATTCATATTTCTATTTATTTATTTATTATTACCATTTTTATTAAAGAAACACTTCTTTCAGTTGTTGTTTTTACTCTGCTATTTACTGTTTTACATGATGTGGGTGTTTAATTTCACTGTGAAGCATTTTAAGCTCTGTTTTTATATATGAAAGGTGCTAGATAAGTTATTATTATTCTGAGTATTATTAAATAGAACCATTTCATGCTTAAATGGTTCTTTGCATGGTAATGTGAGAATGTGTTGTATATGTTTGTGTAAAGAAACTTTTTGAAACTGGTTCTATGTTTCACCAAAAAGGGTCCCATGCAAGCTTGACATCATCACAACAGCAGAGCATTTTTTGGTGCTGTACAGAACCGTACACAACACATTCTCCATCAATCTCTCCATGTAAAGAACCGTTTAATCACAAAATGGTCCTATATAGAACTCATGAATCCAAATAAATCCATTGCCTTTCCTAAGGAACCCTTGCAGAACCACCTTTTTAGCCGGTCCAGTCTGAATTAATGTGCATTGAGCTCCTCCTGGTTTCATCCTCTCAATCAAATATGCAAATCAGTCTGATAAAGAGCATAAAAGCCTCATCTGAAGTCTAAAGGTCGCATAAATAGCCCAGCTGGTCTGCGTTTCCTCATCACTCCCTTATTTCATCCACATCACCGCGTCTCAGCTAAACAAACAGGAGTCCGTCAGAGGCGGTCAGGGACGACGTCCCCCTCATGCTCCGATTTCTCCTGTCTGTCTGTCATTCCGTCTACAGACACACAGCTCAGCTCCACTTTACTACCCAGAACCTCTCAGAGAACCACAAAGCAGCGCTATCTGGTATAAAACTGCAGACCAGTGAATAACGTCAGGACTGGACTGGGACGGTTTTCACTCTGGTGGTCAGCTTAATTAACTGGAATGGTTTCAGCCAGTCAGTGTGGAGATCTTATAATGTAAACAACGAGAGCCAGCTATACATGCTGCGTTTATTTTTGCTACTTTGGCTAATAAAAATAACACAATTCATAATTCGACTCTTTCCAAACAGCAAAAATACTGACTGAAAATGTGCAGCACATTCACATTTACACGGTTTCCTCTTTCAGATTATAGAAATACAATATTTTAAACAAAATATGACAATATGACAACATTATTATCATGATAAATGCATCACAATCAGCTTTTTTCAGTGTATCATGAACATCATCAGTGCTTAAAATCACTTCCCAACTGCATATTTGATTAAAAAGAGCTTAATTAGTCCAGTTAAACTGGATTTAGTACAGTGTAGTGAGTGAAATGCTGAATATTAACTGAAACCACAGTTTTTGACAGTATTTTTTGTGGCCCTACAATAAGAGTTTATATACTTGTGTCATACGAAGCTCCACTCTGCCAGTCTAATTTAGCCTTTAGCCTGCGCTAACTGAACACAAAACACTGGATGTTCCACTTCATTGTTTCTGTTAATCGGACGGTGCTGGCGGAACGTGACTAGCACCACGTGTTCTCTGATATCAATGTGGACGTCAGCTCTGATTCCTGAAGGACACTCTGATAACTTCTTAACTCAGGTGGAAACTTCTGCTCCCCACAATGTAGTGACTGAATATTAATCTGATAATAATCTGATAAGCCTGCGATTTGCTGAACATTACTAAGTGTAAATACAGATTACACAAAAAAAACCTGACAGAGTCTTTGGACTTACAAACTGAGAATCTGTGGACATTAAATACATTAACTGTGTCGTCCAAACGAATGTGAAACGAATAATCGATTATTCAGATTATGAATCACTACATTACCAAATAACTTTTATGTAGCTATTAGCTTTTAGATTTAGCTTGAGGCTGTTTTATGCATTTTCTAACTAACGATGAAGACAATAAAGATGAATAACATCAACACTTCACCGTTTTAATGAACTTTCCTGCCAAGACAAAAGATTACAAAATTAAACTCCAATATATTTTTCCTGTCAAAATTTATAACCAAGGATGTGCAAAGTAGCAGCAATAAAACAGAACAAAACTGAACCTGTTTTCCTTTAATCAAGTAAATAAAAACATTAAATCTAAATTTAACTGTAAACAGTGCAGTCTGTGCTCTGTGCTCTGCCGTCTGTCTAAACGCAGCTGAAACTAAACTCTACAGTCTCAGGTCTTTACTGAACCGGAGGAAAGGCAGCGTCTCTCAGTGCTCCTGTGAGAGTCTCGCCCTCCTCTGCGAGCGGATACTCCCCGCTGCAGAGGAGACGCGCTCTGACGGAGCAGATGGGGAAGTTGAGAACGTTTGTGGCGAAGTTTTCTATGAACAGTTAGATTAACGATTTTGTGTAATGTTTCATTTCAGCGGTCACCCTTCGTCCAGCTACTCTGTGTGTTCACGGAGAACTACCTCCATAAACTGTTAGTGAGTGGAGCTCACTAATTTGGTCGTCGATTTTAGTCGACTAAGTCGAATAATCGTTGCACCCCTAATTTCAACAGATGAAAACTGTTTATTTTGGGCTGAAGAGATTTCCATTCTAATAAAACCTTATTTTAAAAATAAACTGCACTGCAATTTTCTGCCATCAACACCTGAAAGTTATGTTGATGTAATAAAGTCCATGTATACTGACTCTGCTCTGCTTGACTGAAAGGAAATGTGACACAACTGAAGTTCATTCAGTGATTTTTTTCAGTGTGTACAGACTAATCAATAATCACTGACGCACTGTTGATAATACACTGCAAAAAAATTATCAAGTAAAATAATCTTAAATCAAGTCAATAATATCTAACATCTAAAACTTTATCTGATAAAATCACTTAAGACAAGTAAAATACGTCTGCACTCTTAAAAAAGATGGTTCTTCAAGGGTTCTTTAGTAAAGAAACGGCTCTGTATAGAACCATGGAACACTTTCCATGCTTAAACGGTTCTCTGCATGGTGAAATGGTTCTGCACACTGATGGAGAAAGTGTTGCACCAAAAAAAGGCTCTGCTATTGTTACGATGTCAAGCTTGTCACAATAGAAGAACCCTTTTTGGTGCCATATAGAATTACTTCCAAAAAGGTTCCAAACAGAACCCTGTACAGCACATTCTCCATTAATCTGAAGAACAGTTTCACCATGCAAAGAACCATTTAAGCATACAGATGGTTCTGTGTGTTCATGATTGTATATGGTTCTATATTAAACAACCACTTTTTAGAAAAGTAGAAATCTTATAACAAGCTGACACCAATCTCTACAAGAGAAACGAGAAACAGGCTGTATTTAACAGTCTAAGGGATGTTTTTTGGTACTCGGTGCTGCTGAAGTCCCAGTTTTGGGAAGTTTATCACGTCAAATCCTGCACACCTGTTACTGTAAACACACTCTTCATGTCACTGCTGTCAAACAAAACCTCGTATCTCCAAAATGGTAACTTTACAGGAGAAGGACAAAAACCTACTGCACTTTTAATGGAAGTCAATGGAACCAGACTTTTTTCCAAGTCATTTTGGGTCGTTTCATTTAGTTCATTCATCATGAAATTTACATACAATGTAAAGAACAACATACATTTTTAAACTGTTTCAAAAACTGAAAATTGGAGATCTGAGGTTTTGTTCCAGCAGCAGTGATATACTTGTGTTTATTTATCCTGCAGAATCTGAGCTTCAGCTAAACAGCAAAGAATCAGCAGATTTTACTGTTTTTAAAAAAGACTTCTGATAAAAATTGGTCCCCAAAAAAATCCCCCCAAAATCAGAATGTGTCCTAAAAATGCATGCCTAAAATAAACAATGTACCATCAATAGCCATAAGGGATGAACGATGAGCGATGATACTGGGATCATATCGTAGATAAGTGCTTATGAAATAAAATCGGTGCCTTTTATATTTGAACTATAACGCCTTCGCTCTTCCACATCCACATATGCCACTGCTGATGCACATGTTTATGCATCAGCAATGGCATATTTTAGAAAAAAAGAGTTTTGTGCTCGATTTCCATCAACTAAAAGCAGACAAACAGTAAAAACAACTCAGAGCACAAGAGCTCATCCTGATTAAAAGCTAAAAATCATGAAATTTAAAAAGCATTAAAAACGCACATCAGACCCTTTAATACACAACACAGCCCAGCAGAATAACCAACACCGAGCTGAGACCCTCCAGTGCAAACACTTCCGTCCACACAAACACAAAGTAAAGGCTCTGAGTGAAATGCAGTGGCCGTATGGAGGGTCACTAAAGGCCAGATGGACACAAAGAAGGCTTCTGAACCTCTGAAAACTGAGAATGGCTCAAAAAAACAGAAGCAGGTTCAGTTACACCTGCTTTGGGACACCGAACATGCTCGCGAAGTGGCACTTTGGAGCATATAAATGTGTAAATGTGACTAAATTAAAACATAAAAGTGCTTTTTGGAGAGAAATATATAACCTCGAGCTGCGAATGGAGTTCATATGCAAGAAAAGTTGAAAGGTTGAAGAGAAAAAGCTCTGTATTTTGATTCTCGCCGGCTTCTTTTTGGAATTTTTTCCGTTCCACCTTAAATGGCGCAGCAGTTCCATTCTAGCGCCTCAGCCGACAGCATGTATCTGCTGCGCCATTTAAGGTGGAACGGAAAATCCAGAAAAGAAGGCAGTTTGAGCGACTTCAGCTTTTACTAACGAGCACAAACAACGAATGTCTTCGCCGAGAGCAGCAGAAAGGCGCTGAAACAGCGCTAAAACCCTAACTACGCTCTAGAACCCGAGATATGAGGAGTAGAACGAGCTCAAAGACGTACCGAAGTGCTGTAAAAGTGAGGAGAAGCGCTGCTGGGACTCCGCTCAGCTCCGTGCGCAGCCGTTAGAAAATGCTCCTGCAGCTCGGCTCCTTCAGTCCGACTGTCTTTGAGACGTGGCCATTAAAGCTGGACAGTGACAGTGAGGAGGGGAGGAGGAGGGGAGGTTGGGTATGGGGGTGTTACTTTACTTTACCAGCCAATAATGAGAAAGTTAATGAGCGGTCTCGACTCCCAGCTCACTCTCTCTCACACGGAGGCACTTCCACTCAGAGGAGCGACCTCACACACATGACCTCATTCTGGAAAATAACGGTTCACTAACTTCATCTATAATCACTTAATATCACGTAATAACGGGCTGGGTCTCAATACTGGCTTATATTCCCAAAATATTGACCTACAATGTGAAAATAATGACTTAGAATCTTGAAATAATGACATTTTCTCAACATTTTGACTCACTATCTTGTGACTTATGTTTCAAAATATCTTGAAATAATGACTTATTTACTCAAAATGATGGTTTAGTATCACGTAATAACAGTCTTGGTCGGAATAATTACTTATTTTCTAGAAATATTGATATAATATGTCAAAATAAGTATCTTGAAATGATGACCTTTTCTCAACATACTGACTGTCTCAAAACAAAGACTTTATTGTAAATATTAATGGAGCATCTCAAAATAATGACTTATTTTCTTGGAATATTGACTTAATATGTCAAAAGGCTGACTTAGTATCTTAAAATAATGACTTATTTACTCAAAATGATGATTTAGCATCACATAATAACAGTCTTGGTCAGAATAATGACTTTTTTTTCAAATATTGACTTAATATGTCAAAATAATGACTTAGAATCTTGAAATAATTGCATTTTCCATACATTTACAATTACACTTTATATATTGACTGAGCATCTCGAAATAATGACTCATTTTCTTGAAATATTGACTTACTATGTTGTGACAATGACTTATTTTCTCAGAATATTCACTTACTGTGCCAAATAATGACTTAGTGTCTTAAAATAATGAGTTTTTTTTCTCAGAATGATGGTTTAGTTATAATAACGGGCTTGGTCTGAATCATGACTTATTTTCTTTAAATATTGCCTCAAAGTAAAGATGTTTTTATATTGATGGAGCATAGTGACATAATGACTTATTTTCTCAATGTATTGACTTACTGTGTTGTAATGACTTGTATCATGTAAAAATAGTCTGGGTCAAAAAATGACTTTTAATGTCAAAATAATGACTTATCTTGTACTAATGACTTATTAATGACATATTGACCTACTAGATTGGGATAATGACTTGAGTCATTATTAAGTATCATGTAAAAATGGTCTTGAAATAATGACTTTTTATGTCAAAGTAATGGCTTATCTTGAATTAACGACTTATTTTCTCCACATATTGACTTACTAGATTGGAATAATGATGTATTGTGTCAAAATAATGACGTACTGGGTGAAAATAATGATTTTTTTAAAATATTACTTAACTTCAAAATATTGATTTACTATGTCAAAATAATGACTTATTCACTTTAAATATTGACTTAATATGTCAGAATAATGACTTAGTATCTAAGAATAATGACATTTTCTCATAAATTGACTTATTATGTCAAAATAATTGCTCATTTTTTAAGATACTAAGCCAATATTTCGAGAGAATCAGTGATAATTTTGAGATGCAAAGCTGATGTATTTCTACACTGCTGTCAGTCACAGACGAGCCTCTCATTGAAACACAGTAAATCTGCTGTAAATCTCGATATCAGATCAGAATATCAGAAGGTACTGAACTGACCTGAGCGGTGAGACGTAATGAGAGTTGGAGTTAGACGCTGACGCTGAGCAGCGGCTCTCTGAGATCAGGGCTGAATGAATGGCACTGAAGGACAGTCAAACATCTGACCAACATCTGACCAAAACAGACCCAAACCAGAGAGCCTGAATACAGGAGGAAATACACACACTTCCTGAGTACGAACACACACACTTCCTGTGAGAGAGAGAGGGAGAGAGAGAGGAAAGAGACAGAGAACGAACAGTGAGAGAATATTAATACATACACACTAATATAGGTAATATAATATACATGTACATTCACAGAGCACTGCATTAGGTCCGCCTCCTTATTTCTACACTCACTGTCCACTGTATCAGCTCCACTGACCGTATAGTTTCACTCTGTAGTTCTACAGTTACAGACTGTAGTCCATCTGTTTCTCTGATACTTTGTTACCCTGTTCTTCAGTGGTCAGGACCCCCACGGACCCTCACAGAGCAGGTACTATTTGGGTGGTGGGTCATTCTCAGCACTGCAGTAACACTGACGTGGTGGTGGTGTGTTAGTGTGTGTTGTGCTGGTCTGAGTGGATCAGACACAGCAGTGCTGCTGGAGTTTTTAAACACCTCAGTGTTGCTGCTGGACTGAGAATAGTCCACCAACCAAAATTATCCAGTCAACAGCGTCCTGTGGGCAGCGTCCTGTGACCACTGATGAAGGACTAGAGGATGACCAACACAAACTGTGCAGCAGCAGATGAGCTGTCGTCTCTGACTTTACATCTACAAGGTGGACCGACAAGGTAGGAGTGTCTAATAGAGTGGACAGTGAGTGGACACAGTGTTTAAAAACTCCAGCAGCACTGCTGTGTCTGATCCACTCAGACCAGCGCAACACACACTAACACACCACCACCACGTCAGTGTTACTGCAGTGCTGAGAATGATCCACCACCCAGATAGTACCTGCTCTGTGAGGGTCCATGGGGGTCCTGACCACTGAAGAACAGGGTAAAAGGGGGCTAACAAAGTATCAGAGAAACAGATGGACTACAGTCTGTAACTGTAGAACTACAAAGTGAAATTTTAGTGATGCTGATAAAGCAGACAGAGAATGTAGAAACGAGGAGGTGGACTTAATGAAGTGAAATATGTATATATATATATTAGTGAAATGATTTGTGAATGTGAACTCTTGTGTGATTTCTGTGTACAGTGTGTTTGTGTTTGTGTGTCTGTGTGTTTTTTATTTCTTCTTCTATAACAGGGAGCACTTTGTTCATCGTGTTGGCAACATTTAATCACAATTCAGGCCAACAAAACTACTTGAAATTAGGATTTCAGAGTGGGGGGTGGGGGGGGGGATCAGAGCGAGAGACAAAGGGTCTCTGTGGCAGCGTATTCATTACAGAAGAAAAGTGACCACAGACTGGATTGGGCTGGACCGGCGGAGTCTCTGCCCCACCAGATGAGCTCATGGCTGGATCGGGCCTATACTGTCTCAGGGCAGGCTCCCACACAAATTCAATGTTGTTCTGACCCGCACTCCTCTATGTGTCATTTTATTTATCCATCGTTCCTCCCATAGACTCCCATTCATTTTAAACAACACCAGGAGCCCCCAACAACCCAGTAAACCCCTCGTACACCGTAGCTAGCAACACCTTAGTAACCGCCTAGCAAGAAGCTTCAGCCGTGCAGTCACTCTGCGTTTCCTTCAGGAGATGCGCTGCTCTGGTTTCTCTTCTTTTTGTTTTTCAGAGTACATTAGCAACCACCTACCATAGCAACCACATAACAACACCTTAGCAACCACCTGTGACTCTGTAGCAACCACCTTCGAATTGACTAAGCTGCACAGTCACTGCGTTTTCTTCGGGAAGTGCACTATTCTAGTTTTGTATCTGATCTTTTCTCAAATATCTCCTGAGATATTAAATAACTTCAATTCATTCACTCACTCATTCACTCAATCACTCATTCACTCAATCACTCATTCACTCACTCACTCACTCATTCACTCAATCACTCACTCACTCATTCACTCACTCACTCATTCACTCTCTCAGTCACTCACTCATTCACTCACTCACTCACTCAATCACTCACTCGCTCATTCAGTCACTCACTCACTCATTCACTCACTCACTCATTCACTCAATCACTCATTCACTCTCTGTCACTCACTCATTCACTCACTCCCTCACTCAATCACTCACTCGCTCATTCAGTCACTCACTCACTCATTCACTCACTCACTCATTCACTCAATCACTCACTCATTCACTCAATCACTCACTCACTCATTCAGTCAATCACTCACTCACTCGTGCACTCACTCACTCGTTCACTTACTCAGTCACTCATTCACTCACTCACTCACTCTCATTCACTCACTCACTCACTCATTCACTCACTCACTCATTCACTCATTCACTCACTCACTCATTCACTCACTCACTCACTCATTCACTCACTCACTCACTCACTCACTCACTCATTCATTCACTCACTCACTCACTCTTCACGCACTCACTCATTCACTCACTCACTCATTCACTCACTTGCTCACTCACTCACTCACTCGCTCATTCAGTCACTCACTCACTCATTCACTCACTCACTCATTCACTCAATCACTCACTCATTCACTCAATCACTCACTCACTCATTCAGTCACTCACTCACTCATTCACTCAATCACTCACTCACTCGTGCACTCACTCACTCGTTCACTTACTCAGTCATTCATTCACTCACTCACTCTCATTCACTCACTCATTCACTCACTCACTCATTCACTCAATAACTCACTCACTCATTCACTCACTCACTCACTCATTCACTCACTCACTCACTCTTCACGCACTCACTCATTCACTCACTCACTCATTCACTCACTTGCTCACTCACTCACTGACTCACTGACTCACTCACTCACACACTGACTCACTCACTCACTCTATCATTCACTCACACTCACTCACTCATTCACTCACTCTTCACTCACTCACTCACTCACTCATTCTTCACTCACTCACTCACTCATTCACTCACTCATTCACTCACTCACTCGCTCACTCGCTCACTCACTAACTGACTAACTCACTCACTCACTCACTCACACACTGACTGACTCACTCTCTCACACTCACTCACTCATTCACTTACTCGCTCACTCACTCACTCACCTACTTACTCACTCACTCATTCACTCACTCTTTAATGGAGCGATATCTGTTTGTCTGGTTGTGAACGGGCGAGTCGAGGCAGTCAGAGGCGGAACAGCTCATGTATGGAGGAGATTATTAGAGCTGCGCTCTCAGCAGCAGCTCAGCGCTTACGCAGCTGAATCAGAGTCACTGCAGTCATGCAGGAAAACAACACACACATCAAGGCCTCCGTACAATACAGCGGTCGGCAAAACCTGCAGCTAATGCCTCTCCAGAGACCGGTCAGCGGTCAGGATGTTCCTCACTAACACAGCAGGGTGAAGACATCAGCAGTGAGTGAACTATAACTGCAAACACAACAAACAACAAACAACTGTACACAGAATCTCTACACAACAGGGTGAAACATCATTTTACTGGTCAATTTTACTGTGCCCCGCCCACTGGTGTGCAGTGACATCATCAAAAAATCAGAAGCCGTTATGGTCATTACAGTGTGATAGAAAAATCACAGAAAACAACAACTTAGTGTTTTAAATGAAAGCAGAGGAGACTCAGCAGAGCCGGTGTCGTTCATATTGACTTAACTCTTAAAATCCCAGGGTTATTAAACACTAAGGCTTGTGGCCTCATTTGAATACTGTATATACTAATTATATATATAAATATACACACAAACCGTAGTATAGTCCATTATAATCCCCTATAGATTGTCTACAGATGTTCAAATTGTTAACAAACTTTTGAAACTCGGATTTGGACCAGGGTTAGGGCTAGGACCAGACTGAGGGTTGGGTTTAGGTTTTGGGTTGAGGTTAAGGTTAGGGTTAGGATTAGAGAAGGTCTAGAAAAGAAAATTAGGGTCAGTTTAGTAGATTAGTTGAATGTAAAAAAGTATGGTGGTCTGGTGGTCCTAAGGGCAGTACTTGGGAGAAATTAGGTGGTCCGTAGTGGGCTGATGATGGAAAATAATTGAGTTAATAAAAAGAAACGATATAAGATGTTTCAGATGTGTGATCAGCTTGGATCCAACGACAGATGCAGCTTTCGTTATGAAGTCGAGTCAAAGTTTATTTATTTAGCGCTTTTTACAACAGGCGTCATCACAAAGCAGCTTTACAGAAAAATCCAGGTCTGAGCCCCCATGAGCATTGCCAACGGAGACAGTGGCAGGAAAAACTCTCTAAGAGCAAGAGGAAGAAACCTTGAGAGGAACCAAGACCCAAAAGGGGAACCCATCTTCCTCTGGTCGACACCGGACAGCAAACAAGGTTTTAATGTTTGTATAAAATATTAAAATACAGAAAAGGGGAAAAACAGGTGAAGTAACGTCTCTGATTAAATAGTTTGAGTCTGTGCAGCAGCATCTTCAGGAGGGTCAGTTCATGCAGGTGAGCTTTGCACAGCATCGTACAGCAAGAATCTCCATGGTGGTCAAACTGGTCCAGAAGGCTGGCGAGCAGTGGCACCCGATCAAGGCAGAAGACGAACAGCACCAGATGCACAGGATGGGCAGCTGAGTAAAGGAAACACACAGAGAGTCAGTTCTGTACAGAGTGACTGACCACAGATTCCAGGGTTAACAGAGCAGCAGAGACTCCGGCAGGTCTAGATATTACAGCCTCACTAAGAGGGAGAAACCAGAAAGGTAACAGAGTCATGAGACTCCCTGAGGGGCGTCGTCTCCCCTCCGCTCCACCGTCAACAAACCTGAGTGAGTGCGTGAGCAGCGGGACGACGGCACCAACACTCCCAGTTTACCATAATACTCTGTGACCATGAACCCCAGATCTGCACCTTTTATCTGACAGGGAAAACTAATTATCAAAGGCTCCACTAAACAAGTGGGTTTTTAGCCTAGACTTAAACACTGAGGCTGAGTCTGAGTCCCGAACACTGACTGGAAGATTATTCCAAAGCTGGGGGGCTTTGTATGAGAAGCTCCGCCCCCTGA